AAACTAGAAGCGTTTTGACAGTGTACAGTAAATCTGTTTGCACAAACTATATAATTAAAGATTTTAGCGTCGCGTCCATTTTCTGTAATTTTTCGAATTCTGACTTGATATGTATATTTTACAGTCTATATTAATCAAACACGATCTTTTTCATTTTACAATTTTCAATTTCGTATGAAAAAACTTCCTTCAAAAGTATTCCATCCACTCGAGAAGGTGGCGGAAAATAATCCAATAATAGCACAAGTGGTAAACGTGGAAATTACTGGTAATAACTTATACTATGAGCTTTTATTGATTCTGGACACTGCCAGAATACACAATAAGTGTGCTTGTGCCCTGTAAGATATAGAAGAAAACCCGAATGTTAATTTATTTGATACTTTGCTAGTTAAAGACTAGGCGACAGCATACCAAATCAGAAAACCAGGTTTGAAGGAGACCAAAACCACATAATCATTATCATTAGCATTTACTCGCTAACGAGTATTATAAGAATCTTGGCAGCATCATTATCTGTGTATTCTTTGATGGCTAAATGAGCCTATTCCGGACCCACAATTTCTTGCACATTCATTGCACACCCAATCAGCGATAGCAACCAGCTCTTATCAGATGTTCACGTTCTTTTCTATGATTTCGTTTGTCCTCCGCATCCCCTCGTTCCGTTATCGTTCGGAATACTTCGAGCCTTGATGAATACTTCGTCGCTACTATGGGTCTATTCAGGGTCGTAGCCTGCCAGTCGCCCACATCGGTTTGACAAGCTTTTATGATTGCATTGATGACATTTTTTTATCGTTTAAATTACCCTCCTTTGCTGCGTTGGCCATTTTTTAGTTGCGAATACATAATTTGCTTAGGATGCAAAAATACATGGCATTCGGACGTCATGAACAGCCCAGCAAAGCCGATGTTGGATGGATATTGCCTCAATCCTGGTGAAATTGGTTTCCTCAAGGATACTGTTGTTTGTTCGCCGGTTCTGCCAGTTTATTTTGAATATTTGTCTCAAGCAGCGCTGGTGATACTTTTCTAAATACCTCAGGTACCGTCTGTAGGTTGGCCAGGTTTCACATCCGTAGAGTATGACGAGGATAGTGCAATCTTAGCTTGGGGAATTATGTCGTCGTTGTCAAACTGGTTGATTCTTATTTGTTCCAGGGTGGTATAGGATTTTTGTCTCATGCGTGCTTTTTACAGGGTGTATCAGGTTTGACTACAAAAATTTTAACACGTGAAAATATGGCCCAATTTGAACAAAACAAGTTCATACAACATGTGGTCCAAAATCAACCATTTTCAAGAAAAAGACCTTTCAAGTTTTGACATTTTTTGACAAATATTTGAAAGATAAAGAAAACTTTAGTCATTATGAGATGTAAAAAAATTTAGGTAATCCAATTATTAAGTAATCAACAACAATAATGAAAAATTGAAAAAAAACAGCATGAAAACTTTACTCGTACGTCGGTATATAAACATTTGGCAACATAGCACAGAGAGAACCTTGGTTGAACTGATGATCTTGATTTGTTTTCTCATGTCAGTTAGTTGAAGTATTGGAAACGCGCGTAATTCATTATTTTTTAAAAATAAAATGTTTACAAACGTCGTATATGCAGATACTTGTTCAGGCAGAATACTTGCAAAATGCCCATTTAGCCGCCAGAATTCACAGGGAAAGATTCCCCAATAAAACGGCACCCATGAAAGAAATTGTGCCCGTTTCACAAAGATTGCGTGATACGAGAAATGTGAGTGTGCAAAATCTTCGTGTTGATTTTAGCGTTGATTTGTAGTGTTTTGAGAACCTTGATATTTTCGTAATAAGGATTTGGCAAGTAACTGAGTAAGTTTTATTTAATTTTTCTCTTGAATGTTTAGTGCAAAAGTGTCATTATTGAGTGCAAATCACAACTTAATAAAACAGCACATTTTTTATTTTTACCAGGAAAATGCAAATTATTATTAACATTATTTGGAAGCGAATAACAAACCAAAACGTATAGTCTAGGAAAATTTTCGAAAAATATTTACATGGATTACAAAAAAAAAAAATCCTACCCAAATGAATTTTTCAGGGACGATAGGGGGCGGGTGGGTAATCATAAAACTGAAGATATCACACATGCACCCCTCTGGCGTTTTGCACTATAGGGGTTGAAAGTGGGCTATTGGCGATTATTTGATACCTATTAATTTTACAAAAAAATGTTTCAAATGAAAGATGTCCAACATTATTTAGTCTACAATGTTTATCCAGAGACTTTTTTGATTAAGGGCCGTCGGTGGTCATAAGGTGCGTTTGAAATTTAAAATCAAAATAAAAATCTTTAACCAACGTGAAAACATTTTCTATAACATTTGACGCACGTTTCTGCTTTATGAAGTTTTTACTCACCTCCTACCGTTTTTCAATAGGGGTAGTTTAGAGTTTTTTAATTTTTTTTTACAAAAAACTTTTCTTGATAAAAGTTTTATAAGATTACATTTCCTACAATTTTTCCTCATCAACTTTTTTTTGTAACTCACTCCCATTCAGCGGGGAGACACTTTCCTTAGGTTGAAAATTTTAATTTTTATTATAAATTTCAGACGGCCCTTAATCAAAAAAGTCTCCAGATAAACATTGTAGATCAAATAATGTTTTGAAACATTTTTTTGTAAAATCAATAGGTACCAAGTAATCGCCAATGGCGCACTTTCAACCCCTATAGCGCAAAACGCCAGAGGGGTGGATGTGTGATATCTTCGGTTTTATGATCACCCACCCGCACCCTATCATCCCTGAAAAATTGATTTGGATAGGACTTTTTTTTTATGAAAATCGACAATTTTCCTAGACTAGTAAAGAGGTAGAAATAAATAAACTCCATGCAAAAAAAAAAAACCTTTCACATTTACCAGTTTCATTTACGTTTATATCCTGGCACAGATAATATCTGTACAATGTTGTCACATTCTTAACATTTTTCTAAATTTGAATTCTGCGATAATTCCGAAAATACTAACAATTGACCCATGGTTGATAGGACAGTTTAAGCTTGAAATGCGTCATATTATCTCATGTTAAAATATTTGTACTCATACCTGATACACCCTGTATACTAATGCTTGCTCAATGCGTTACCAATAGTTTGTAGGTCTTCCTCGGTGTTTGAGAGGACGACGTTATCATCAGCATATTGAAGCTAACAAACAGTTGTTGCGAATACCATGTCCTTGGCTCGAAGTTTGCTCATATTGAATAGCTGACTAATAGTTCTATAGAAGATTTCCACGCCCAACTGCAGATTTTCTTGGACAAGGTGGAGTACGATTTCTACAAACATAAATAGCCTTGGCGCACTGACACAGCCTTGCTTGACTCCGGAAATGATTTTAAAGGTTTCACGGGGTCAGTTGTTGGTAAGGAAAGTGGCATTCATTTTAGCTTCGCGCCCATGTTCTGTATTTTTTTCAATTCTGACTTGATTTGTATATTTCACAGTCTATATTGATCAAACACGAACTTTTTCAATTTAAAATGTTGAATTTTGTATTAAAAAACTTCCTTCAAAAGTATTCAATCCACTCGAGAAGCTGGCGGAAAATAATCCGGCAATAGCACAAGTGGTAAACATGGAAATTATTGCTAATAACTTATACTCTGAGCTCTCATTGATTCTGGACACTGCCAGAATACACAATAAGTGTGCTTGTGCCCTGTAAGATATAGAAGAAAACCCGGATGTTAATTTATTTGATACTTTGCTAGTTAGAGACTAGGCGAGAGCATACCAAATCAGAGAACCTGGTTTCAAGGAGACCAAGACCACATAATCATTATCATCATAGGCATTTACTCGCTACCGAGTTAATAACAGGGGGTTTTACATTTAAGATTTTCACTTTAAGTTTTCACTCAAAAGACATTCATCTGCATTCTTCAAGTGCGTTTTTTTTTTCATTCAAAACATTGAATTGGCGAACGGCAAATCTATGATTGACGATTAACATTTTGTTTTGGACTAAAGATAATCGTGAATGAGTCCCGAACGGTGCATCTCAAACCCATATTTCTTTACATAATTATTTTAATTTGCATTGGTCTTTGGAACAACCCTCCTTAATCCATGGAGCTTTAAGTGACTTATAAGCAAATTGTCAATCCAGATTATTATTGACACTTCAAGAGAAGCGATACATGCTGGTAAAGCATGCATTCACTTTTTCCCTTCCAATATTTTTTCCCATTATGTTTTTTTTTGGCTAAAATGGAACATTTTTTTAATAGAAACTTGTATGTAAAATTCTTATATCAATAGAAGTGTAACATAAATACTGAGTTTTGTTATAATGTGCATGACTCCCAAACAAGATCCCATAATAACATCTATCAAGTGTATACTAAAACGAACATATGTTTGAATCATCCAATTTTAGATGCAATTAAAACTTTTGATAATTTTCTACACTCTATGATTTGAATAATTATAGGAGTTTTGTAGGAAAATTGAAAGTTTTTGTAAATGGTGATTAACTGCCTTTGCAACACTATGTTAATTGTTTATTTTGTTATTCTCGAGGCCACTTTTTGTAAGCACTGATTCGAGAATTGTTACATAAGTAAATTATATTGTAATGAATGTTTAAATAAATGGTATTTCAAAAAATATATGAAAGGGTGTTCCTGATCTAGGTAATCTCATATTAGTCATACAGCAAAGGTATAGGCTTACTGGAACTTTTTCGGTTCACATACTTTGAAAGTTGAAGAAGTTAGTATCTGTATGAAAAATTTAAATAAATATTAAAATAATAGTATTATCGCATACAAGAAACAAGATGTAAATAAATAAATAAAATCGAGTTATTTTTCGAAGGCCTAGTTTATGATTTATTTCGCTCCTGCAGCCTATTAAACGAGATCCACAAACAGTGCGCGAAGAGCGCCGAAGCTGATGCCAGTTTGCCGCAGTTGGAATAACCCGCCGTTCGCACCAGCAGCACGGCACGGCCACTATAACTGTTCCACTCCACTCTCCACCCCCACGTCCTTCTACCCCCGAATGAACGCGACACAACACAGACATCCCGCGTTATGCAGTCTTTGAGTTGCGGGCCGTGTGCCAGTGTGCGACACTAAACAACTTTGCCGATCGCGTCTTCGCTCCGCAAAAACTTTTAGCGCGAAATATTAACATTGTTTAAGTGTCCCATTTCGAACTCTGACCGTCGAAATGTTGACTATGTCAACTTTGATGATGCCTGCTTCGGCAGTACCTGCCAGTATGTCTGCTCCAGGCCTTTTGCCGGTGCCAAAGTTGGAAGCCATAAGAATTAATCATACGCCACCAAATTCTACTGTTGCTTTACCTCCTGCAACACCATCGTCTGCAGCTAAATCAGGTACTTAGTTTGTTGTTAACATTCAGAATTTGTTATTAGGCCAAAACAGAAAACACACGCGGTCTCGTCTGCAACGCGACACTTTTTTTTAGACCGATGCAGATACTTTGCAGGGTACCCTTGAAACCAAATAAAAATTCCCTAACTAAACCAACTTCTACAAAATTAATTAAAGAGACGCGAAAAAATATTCCCCGAGCATATAGGCTAAACGCAAGACTTTATGGTGTCCGCAATGCGGAAAACGCGTTAGTTAAAGTACATTTTCTGATTAATAAGCAACAAAGAACTTAAAAATAACTTTAAATTTTCAACTTTTCATATAAGCATGTCAAGTTTTATAGTCTCAAAATTCTATAATCTGAAACTTTATAATTGAAAGCTAATTACTGCGCAAAACTTTTTTTTGCAAGTTTTTTTTTTTCAATTTGTTGAGTTGGTGCTAATTAAAAAGGTTTATTGTATAGGTATTAATCAAAATATTGTATCAAGACCTACTTGTAAAACCCACACAAAGGGTTGTTCAATTCCTAATATAAATATAATTATTAGATGTAATAAATTAATTTAATATAAAAAAAAACAGTATTTAAACGATAAGCATAAAGATTTATTATTAGATTTATTTCCCTCACAGACGCATTAATCATGGGGTAGAATGTTTGATTTTTTTTGTTAGAAGTAGCAACAGGTTTGTGATGTGTTTAAATTTGGCTAACTAATTTAAATAGAATTCCAAAGTAGATGGAAATTAGGTAGGAAATTTTAAACAATGATTTAATATTACTACTTATATGTAATTGCAATTTTTTTTATTGAGCAGGGTTCCCTATATGGATGACAGTCAGTGCTTCATTGATTTGATGTCTACCATTTATTGTTTATGAAAATGTATCAATGTTGAATGAAAGTTTGCTATTTTTCAAGTATTAACCAAAAAGCCAAATCTATTCCTGAGTGATATAAATTGAATACTTTAGGGCAACTGACAACTAGGCCAAAGAGCTCTAAAAGGATTTTAAAATTAATATTGGAAGGAAAATTTAGGTATCTCTATAATATTGTCGATAAAAGTTTTCAGTTCCAATAATCTTTATGACTGACAGACATTTTTCGTAAGCATTCGTTTATAAATCTTATAGAATATCAAATTATCATTTTTAGTGATTTTATTGTTTTCTAATATAAATAATGTTCTTCTTTGATCAATTATTATTTCTTTATCAATAGCAATATTTTACATTGAAATACCTAGTACATATTTCCATTTAGACATTGGTATCACACCATGTGCAATATTATACTTAAAGATTCCTCTTAAAATTCCAAGCATATTTCATAATATAATCTTATACGCTATACCTATTTCCAACTTTAAACCAGGCGGCTGAATATGGACATTTTGCATCCGATAAAGGGCTCCAGAATTTGAATGGCTTACAAGAAATAAAGCCGTTTCTTGGCTTTCTAGAACTTTTATATCAGCTCAGTAACCACGTTAATCTCTAATAATAGATATCATATTCAGCTCATAAAAAATACTTATGAAATATTTTTATATTTAGTAGGTAACTTGAGCTTTTTGGATCGATATCAGAGGAAAACATTGCCTCCAGTCTTTTTTTAAAGTCTAAAAGCATTTCTTAGTAGTAAAATGTTATATGATATTTTAGTTTTAGTGGTTTCAATGTGTAACAAGTCAGGTTTCAAATGCAATTCAGGCGTTTCTGGGAATGGGAAATATTGGCCTTATACTTCTGTGCAAGAGGTTAACAATTTACATGAATTGAAGCTAACTTTAAGATTTAAATAAACCCATAGAATTTCTTTGAAAGTTAAGTTTTCTTTTTTTAGTAGTGTGTTTTGATCCTGTTTTCGAATTTATATGCATTTGAATCAATTAACTTAGTTATACATGAGTTAACTGACGGGACAGAAGAAATTATTAATTGCTAAAATTATAATTTTATTTGTTTAATTTCTTTATAGCATTACGCTATATCTCTATCTAGTTTGTAACCATCACAATAATTATTATTGAATAGAAAAATCTATATAGCGAGGCAAGTCAGCTGTTTGGCGTTTCGTCTATGGACAGGGTGCGAGGAAACTCCTCCCTATGAAACTTCAACTTCAGGGCTAACGGGGAAGTTGAACATCTATACGTTCCATGGTTTCTTTCTGGTTTGCGGTTCCATTTCTTTAGCTTAGGCTTAGAGGACAGCGCTTCCCGGATGAGTAAACACCCATATCAAGCGTACTAATAATGTAGGTAAATAGAGATTGACACCAGATGGTTGCACCTATCCTGTTTCCAAAGTTTGATAGCGACGCCAATGTGCTGCCAACCCTGAATCACAGCGTGCATATAGACGAAGCCAAACTAGATGAGTTATAGCAACTCAAAAACGAAATCCAAGTAAACTCACCTCATTACTGGCAACATTCAGTATATTGAGTCCAAAAATATCGGATAGAGTGATCATTGTACCATGATATTAGTGGGCAGATTCCTGGAAAACAGTGGCCATGATAAATGGATGATTTCTAATACAGTTTCGGAAAGAATTTGAAGGCTGGAACGGAGTTAATGAAGGAAGTAAGGATCCTGAATCTGAAAAAAAAAAAAATAATATTCAGGCAAAATTCGCTAGGAGAGCACAGACATTTGCTGCATTTGAAGAAATGACTGGTGTCCCTATAATTTTTTTCCCTATGGGAGAGAGTGAGAATTGTCTGCTTTTGAACTTGGTTGAGAATCGTGAAGACTGGATATAGATAATTGTTTGAGTATTCTTCATATTCATAATAAGAATAGTTTTAGGGTAGGTAGTTCATGGATACCTTCTTATGCTCTACTCTTGGGCTATGTATTTCTGTTCATTATGTTGATTCCTGTAGAGAGCCAGACATTGGTATAGCCAGAAAGGGTTTCTGGTAGTTACTCATCGGTGTTGGCCTAGGTACTGATATTTGAGTCTGGCTTGAAGACATTTACATTTTGGTTTTGAGATCTACCCAATACTTCTGAAGGTTTTAAGGGCTAATTTTCGATACAAACCACGTTTGACTCTAGCAGCTGCCTGTTTATGAGCATCAATATACCTGCATAAAAGGTTGGGCAATTCCAAACATTTGTCATAAAAAGTTTGCGGAGGTTCGTGCGACAGTTCTTTTCGGCTAAAATAACTTTTTTACAATTTTTAAAAGAGGCAAGAAAATTTTTCATAAATTTCAATTGAAATGTCTGCATGTCACGAAAATCCAACACACTGTAAATAATATAACAGACGATAAAACTTATAAAAATTGTAAAAAAATTATTGGCTTAGTATTGATGGTTTGGCGTCCGATCCCGATACCTGCTGAAGTCGTTATATGTCGACGACGCATCCGTGTTTGAAGGGATAATGAATTCCAAAACAGCCATTAATTGCGAATGTGTTTCCCTTATACCTTCTAACTCATTCCCATACCAACGATAACCACCGAAGGTTGCCGTTGGTCCTCACAAATAACGACTTAAAATTGATGAAATACTTGACCGACAAGGTAGAAATGAAACAGGTCTTGGTAGCTCAGTTGGTAGAGCATTGCACTAGATATGCGAGGGTCCTGGGCTCAAATCCTAGTCGAGGCAAGAACATTTTTCATCAATTTCAATTGAAGCGTCTGCATGGCACGAAAATCCAACACACTATAAAATAACTTTTATCATGCCTATTAGCAAAATTACAAATTACGATCTTCTAATTCTGCTGTTATTACGTTTGATATATTTATCACCAATCTCTTATCACCACTCGTTCGTATGCAATTTGAAAAGGTAATTTGGCTCAAAAGTATCAGCCACATTCTTTAAATTAATGTTCCTTCTAGAATATTTAATTGGGGTTTTTCAGATTCATAAGTTGAATTTAATAAGTTGTCACCAATTACATAAATTCCTTAGAACTAAATTATTATGAGCTAACCAATCTGATGCAAAATCTGTAGGTATTTCCAGGATAAATTCGGGAGTGGCGTTGAAGTGTTGGAAGCTTTACTTTGCTTGAAAGAGCAGTGAAATTTGCAATTTTCATTTGAAAATTGCACTCATATATCAATCAAAAATGCTGTTTTGGCAATAATCCGAAGCTCCATGAGCTAGCGATGTGTATCCAAACCAGTCAATAGAATCCCTCAATGAGAAGTCGCTACAGTTGGATTATTTGGTTTTTAAGAAGCCACTTTGTAGAACAACACGATACGCGACTGACTAGTTTTGTCCGTCTCATAGTTAAATCAAGGAATTGAAAATCAATTTGTCAGATAAACAAATCGTCTCTCTCGATCCTACCCACTGCGCCAGTTATCTAACGGAAACTGCGAGATCCTTTTTTTTCAAGTACCTATCTATTTCGAAAACTACAAGTATCTTTATTTGATGTTTTTATAGCATTACGTTTATTCTGAAACTAACCATCACACTTATTAAAAAGCAGAATTTGAAAAGCAAGGTCAGCAGAAGCGAAAGGGATGGTAGTCAGCTATTTGACTTCTCGTTTATGGACAGGGGTAAGACAGGTTTCTTCTTATTCAAAAAATCTCGCAGCAAAAATCGAAAGGCCTAACGGAATACCTCCTCATAGGCCAGCGTAGTGTTCGCGTCGAAGTCTAGAGTCTGGGTTGATGGCATTATAAGTTAAAGTAGTATCAAAATATTTTGCTACAAAGATTTTTCTTCTGATTTTGAGTGTTGATAAAGCTGACTTTTCAGGCCTTTCATGTTTACCCACCCGTAGAAAAAAGTTAAGCTCATTCTGATGACGACTTTTGCATAGTATACATCTCGTTAATCATAAACTTTTCTTTCATCTTTCACGGATGAAGAGTAAATCCACCGATTGTCGTCTATAAAAACATCGTAACTTTTACGTTGTAAACTTCGCAATGTGTATTGTCTGGAAAAATTTATGTGAACTTTGATATCCAGATTACTTTTCCCCTATTTGCTTATG